CAGGATTTCCAAGGTGCATCTGGTGGGTTTGAACTACTGAACTTGTGGTTCAAAGTCCAGTGCTGATCCTACAGCACCACACTATGAGTCCTAACATCATTTTGTTATTGTTGTTAAGTGCCGTCAAGTTGGTTGTAAGCCTGTGTAGGGTTTCCAAAGAGCAGCTGGTGAGCTTGAACCACCAACATTGCAGTTCAAATGGCTTTGCAGTCTGGTGCATTAACCCACAGTGCCACACCAGGACTCCAAAGTGGTTCCACCCCTAAATGTCTCCACCCACAGGCAGGCCAACACAAGGCACGGATGGGGTTTGAACCCATGATCTTCGGTTTACGAGACCGACACCTTACCACTTGGCCATCTAACATCATTTAGGCCTCTATAATTTTTATCTTCAATGGCCAGCATCCAATAAAAAATTTACAAGGTCCTCGGAAACCCTGTACAGGGTCGCTATGGGTCTGAACCGACTCGACGGCACTTAACAACAACAACAACAACATAAAAGACAGGGCCAAATAATCAAAAGCAAAGCAAAAAATTGAAAAATACTCACAGGAAATTCAAATGTTGGAGTTATCAGATGGGACTTAAGATAACTATAATTAATATGTAAAGAAAATAGAACAAAAGATGAATAATTGTATCAGAGACCTAGGACTTATTTAACAAAAAGAATCAGACAGAGATTTTTAGAACTAAAATTATCATAACTAAGATTAAAGATCCAATATAGTCAATGATAAAGCATTTTGATGTTAGGCAGCATCAGCTTGGTCCTGACTCATGGTGACCCTTTGCACAGCAGACTGAAACACTGCCGGTCTTGGGCCATCCTAACAGTTGTTGTTACACTTGAGCCCATTGCTGCCGCCACTGTGTCGATCCATTTCATTGGGGGTCTTCCTCTTTTTCACTGATCCTCCACTTTACCAAGCATGATGTCCTTCTCCAGGGACTGGTCCCTCCTGATAACAGGTCCAAAACATGAGAGATGCGTCTCACCATCCTGGCTTGTAAAGTGCATTCTGACTGTATGTCTTCTAAGACAGATTTGTTTGTTCTTCTGGTAGTCAGAACAATTAATGAACTGGAAGGAATAACAGTAGAAAATATTCACACAGAGGGATAAAATAATGGAACCATAGAAAAGAGCTTAAGAGATATACTGAACATTGAGAAAAATAGACCTAACATTCATTTGGATACTAGAAGAGGAGAAAGCAATTTTTAGAAAATACTGGCCGAGAATGTTCCCAAACTGATGAAAGACATCAAACCACATATTCAAGAAGCTCTACAAACTCCAGGCAAGATACATATAAAGAAAATCACACCTGGGCACATCATAGCTGTTGTAGTTGGGGACCAGCAAGTCAATTCAATTCACAGAAATGTCTCAGAAGGTTTCCTAAGCTGTGACCTTTATGGAGCCCTGGTGTGGTGCTGCAAGATAAGCACTGGACTGCTAGCCCCAAGGTTCAAACTCACCAGCCACAGTGGAAACCCTGTACATGATCGCTATGAGTTGAAACCAACTCAATGGCACATAATCTAACACATAACAATCCTTATTAGAGTAGATTACCAAGTCTTTTCTTCCACCAAGTGGCTGATGGGTTTGAACTACCAACCTTTCAGTTAACAGCTTTATACTAAATCAGCAGTTTAACTATTTAAACTGTGTCAGCTGTCAGGAGCTTTGCAAAGTTAAACTGCTGAAAATTAAAGACAAAGGGAGAATCTTAAAGTAGCTAAAAGGAAAAACACACATTATTTTCAAATGAACACTACTAGGACTATCAGCTGTCTTGAACAGAATTATGAAAGCCAAAGACAATGGACCTACACTTTAAAGTTGTTGTTGTTGTTGTTAGGTGCCATCGAGTAGGTACTGACTCATAGCAACCTTATGCACATCAGAATGAAACACTGCCCTGGGTCAACCTCACTACTGTTGCCATGCTTGAGTCCATTGATGCTACCACTTGGCCAATCCATGTTGCTGGGGAGGGGGGGCGGGTTCTTCCTTTTTCTCTGACCCTCCACCCTACCAAACACGATATCCTTCTCCAGCGACTGGTCCCTCCTGACAATATGTCCAAAGTATACTGGAGGGGGAAAAAAAATAATCATGTCAAGCAAGAATTTGATTCCCAGAGTGGGGGCAAAATCCAATAATTATCCTACAACATCCTGAAAATGAAATATCCATGAATTTAGTCTCTGTGTGTTGTTATTGTAAGGTGCCTTCGAGTTGGTATTGACTGATAGCGTCCCTATGTACAACAGAAAGAAACATTGCCCAGTCCTGCACCAACCTCACGATTGTTGCTATGCTTGAGCCCATTGATGCTGCCACTGTGCCAATCCATCTCATTGCTGTATATGGTGATTTATACTCGATGATTGCTAATGCTCTCCTTCAATATTTGTTGTTGTTAAATGCCATCGAGTTGGTTCCAACTCATAGTGACTCTGTATAGGGTTTCCAAGGAGTGACTGGTGGATTTGAAGCACCAAGCTTTCAGTTAGCAGTCCATTGTTTATCCTACAATGTCCTACCAAGACTTTCCCTCAAAATAGAGCTACTTTTACCAAAGGGAGATATAAAACTATGAACCAGGAGCGATTTACTGGAAGGGATTTGTTACATTTATATTAACTACTAAGATCCCTAGAATAGCAATGTTCAATAGAAATATAATGCAAGTCATATCTTCATATATCATTTAAACTTTTCTAAGAACCACATTTTTAAAAAGTAAAAGAAATAGATAAATGAATTTAGTAATATATTTTATCTAACTCAATAAATAAAAAAAGATTACCACTTCAACATGTCATCAATATAAAAAGTATTCATGAACATTGTATAATGTTTGTACAATGTCTGTACCCCATTTCAATTTGAACTGCCTGTATTTCAAGTGCTCAAGAGCCCCATGTGGTGGCAGTGGTTGTTGGTGTGCCGTGAAGTTGATTCTGACTCATAGTGTATAAACCTGTATAAGGGTTTCCAAGGCTGCAAATCTTTACGGGAGCAGAAAGCATCATCTTTCTCCTATGGGGCGACTGGTGGATTCAAACTACTGACCTTGGGGTTAGCAGTCCAATGCATAAGCCACTGTGCTACCAAGGCTTCTTCCCCATGTGGTTAGTGGCTACCATACTGGACAGCACAGCAAGAGATTCATAAACCTTACAGATAACTAATTCATGGTTCTCAACCCCAGTTACCCATTAGAATGATTTGATGGAAAAGTTTTAAAAGCACAGATGACGAAGCAGGGCTAGAATTAGGGTGAAGCAAGAGAGACACTTATCCGGAGCCTGACACTTAAGGGAGTGCCAGAGATACTCAGTAATACAGATAAATACTATTTTTATGCAATATTTAAAAATAAAAATGAATGCAAAAGAATCCATAATAAATATCAAAAGTTAAATAAAAATTGTAAGATAAAAACAGAATCAGTATCACTGATTCTTTCCCCCCCCTTTGCCCCAGGCTCCTTTATAGCTTGATATGACATTGTGCCCAGGGCCAACTCCAGACAAATTAGTGTTTCTAGAGGAAAAGCCTAGACATTATATTTTGTAAAGTTCCCAGATGATTCTAATGTGTAGCTGGCATTGAGAAGCACTGTTCTAACCCGCTGTCTCTCCTAATGCTTACATTTCTGATTACATGGGGAGCTGACAAGCAGTCCTCATTCTGACAGGTAATTTCTCTTACCAGATCCCCAAAAGACAGTCTTCTTTTTTGACTTCCAGTGATAGAGAGTTCACAACTTCACAGGGTAGTCATTTCCACTGCTGGACAGTTCTAGTGCACACTCATTTATTTTGAGAACGTTCATCGTTTTGAAAGATCATTTTCAAAAAAGTCATGCCTCTCCCACAGATATAAAAATAAATACATAGTGAAGATTTTATGTAATAGAAGGAACTAGGCAAGTTTATAACCAACTCAAAAGAAAATCCAAAAGCCAGACATCTTTATAGATCAAATCTATTGAAATGAATATGCAAATGGAGGTAAAACTGGTTTTTCCACAAGGGGAGGAGAGGAGAAGCAATCCAGCCTCTGCCAGACTTGACAGAATTTGCTAGTCTATTAGTTACCTGGAGTCCTGGTCTGCTAACGTCAAGGTCCGTGGTTCAAACCCACAATCTGCTCCTTGGAAACCCTTTACAGGGTCGCTATGAGTGAGGTCCGACTGGATGGCACTTAGCAATATCAGTTACCTGGAGAGCCTGGGTTGTGACAGAAGTTAATGCCCTCAACTGCTAACCAAAAGGTTGGAAGGTCAAGTCGACCCAGAGGCACCTCAGAAGAAAGTCCTGAAGATTAGCTTCTGAAAAAACAGCCACTGAAAATCCTTTAGAGCACAGTTCTTCTCTGGCACACAGAGGATCGCCATGCGTTGGAATCAACTGGACAGCAACTAGATACTGATTATCAGCTTCCTACAATTACAGAGTTGCAAAATGCCCCCCATGAATCAGAATCTGAACCTGCAGTCAGGTGTGCTAGAGACAACACATAGTTCTCTGTTGAAGTATAAATGTTTTTTTTTTTTTTTCTCACACAACAAATTGCTTCCATATATCTTTTTCTTTTTTTTTTTTTTTTAACTGCTAAAGCAGTGGTTTTCAAATTAGATGTGAATGAGAACCACCTGGGAATTGAGCTAAAAGGCAGACTCCCTTCCAAAGATTTCTGAGCTTAGATCATGCCCATGACAATGCCTTTTTAACAAGCACACTAGATGATTCTGATGCAGGTGACCTGAGGATCATACTTCAAAAACCACTGCCCTAGAACATATCTATTCCATATTCTGGAAACTACCTTTTCAATTGTGCTCGTCACAGTATTTAAAAGTAGCTCTAGATTTTAATGCAAACCAGGGTTCTGATCGTCTGCATGGTATACATTTTCTTTGTTTCCAAGATAAAATGCTAATTCTTTTCTCCCCTACTCACCTTTACAGGACAGACAAGGAACAGTTTTTATATTATTCGAACAGCTAAAGAGAAGCAAGTTGGGAATGTTGTGAGTATGAAACATTTCTATGCGCTCTAATAAGCTCACCGAATAGATGATGACAGCCAATAAGAATGTTGCTCATCGTGAATGTGAACCAGGATGCTGATTTGCTAGAAGTCCATCTTGTTATTTAGATCTATAAGTATTCCATAAAATGGCTTTAGATCTATAGTGGAAGGTTCATGAATATCACTGGTTAATTATCCAAACTGAATGTATAGGATGCAAGTGTATAGACCAGAATAAAGCTGACTGATAGGGACTCAGCCCAGATATCCCAACTGTGGAGGGTTAGTTGCCATTCTGGTGACTTGTCAAGATGTCCTACAAATGGCCGAGTCTCCAGCCCCCTTCTCAGGCCCTGACACAGTCCTCTGAGACCATGTGTATACTGAGAAGGGTCCTTCAGGCAACCCTCCAGAGGCGTCTGTATACTTGCCTGTTACCTATAAATTTCTCTCAGGGTGGCTCTGGAGAGCTGACACAGTTGTTTCCATATATAGGCCTTAGAATTTCAGAGCTACCACATGAATTATCTCTTTCTTGGATATTTTGGGAGATAGTTGTTTGGTACCTTGAAGTCATCCTAAGGAGCCCTGGGAGTGTGTGGCTTACAAGGTGGGCTACTAACATCAAGGTCAACAGTTTGGATCTACCAATGGCTCCATGGGAGAAAGATGAGGCTTTTGCTCTGGTAAAGATTTACAGCCTTGGAAACCCTATAACAGAGTCACTATGAGTCAGAAATGACTCCACCACATACAACCACCACCACCAAGTCGTCCTAACTTACTGGGAAGCTGTTCCTGCCTTACATTTCTCATCCTTATAACCCTATTGTAAACATCATGGCCTCACATTGAAAGACAAACACACATGCACAAAGATCTAGGTCTAGAGATCAAGGATCTGAAGTTGGCAAGTTAGTATATAAGATATTTGTGTTTCCCAGAGTTGTGAGTCTAATAAAGTAGGAAACGTTTAAAGTCCAAGCTTAGGAACTCAGGCACTAGATGGTGGACAAGAACTGGACATCAGAACACAAAGATATGAGCTTGAGCTTATTAGGCACAGGCTGGCATGAAAGGCAAAGGACTAGTTGGGCCAAGACTAGAGTCAGAGAACCCTTCCTGCACATTGGATATGCTCAGGAGTCATGAGCCTCCCTTCAAGGACTGGCAGAAGAGAAGTCAGGCAGGCCAAAAACAGGATCTAGAGGGCCAGGTGCCTAGAGGACACCTTGGGGAACCACCAACGCTCACCATCAGTACCAGGATGGCCTGAGGGCTAGCAGCACAACCTTGTTGTTGTTGTTAAGTGCCGTCAGGTCAGTTCCGACCCATAGCGACCCTGTATAGGATTTCCAAGGAGTGACCGGTGAGCTTGAACCACCGGCCTTCTGGTTCAAACAACTTTGCAGTCTGACGCATTAACCCACAGCGCCACACCAGTACTCTGTAGAAGCTCAAAAAAGAGATCACTTGAAGAGATCCAGGCTCATAGAAGGGTGGCATGAAGAAAGCCTATTAGTAAGTGACAGAGTCCAACAGTGACTGACCCTCAAGAACCAGACATGTGTCCCCAAATTGAGAGAATAAGACAAGGGGAGATCTAACTAGGCAGAGGCAGAGTTCTGGGGCATGGGCCACAGGAGGGTGGGTTACTCAGGCATAGAGGAAGTGGGCAAGGGGAAAACTGTCACAGAATTATGGGTTAAAAGAGACTGTATTTCATGAACGTTTCATCAAACCGAACTAATAGCAAGGTTAATTCGATGCTAAAGCCTACAGAATGAATAATTAGCATGGTAACCAAGAGGAACTCCCCCAGCTGTCCCTACACCTGCACCTGAGATTTCAAACAAGGATGCCTTGACCTGCAGGCTAGCTTCAGTGGTAGAAATAATCCTATTCATGTAGTTTCTAAATGATTATTGCCACTCACACAGCCCACAGAGAGGGCAGTAATTGGCACGGGCTTCCTGAGAGACGTTAGAGCTTGGTCTACTGTTGTATAGTCCATCGTATTCTTACCTCCGGAGTCCTGGTGTGGCATGGTAGGATACACACTGGATTGCTAACCACAAGCTTGGCAGTTCAAACCCACCAGCCACTCCTTGGAAACCCTGTACAGGAACCATCTCAACAGCATTTAACAACAACAGCATTCTTACCTCCTCCTGCAGTCCTGTTGTTGTTAAGTGCCACCGAGTCGGTTCCTACCCACAGGGACCCTGTACAGGGTTTCCGAGGCTATAAATCTTTACAGGAGCAGAAAGCCTCATCTTTCTCCTGTGGAGTGACTGGTAGTCTCGAACTGCTGGCCTTAAGGTTCGCAGCCCAGTTCGTAATGACTGCAGAGAACGTTAGCTCCACAGAAGGGAAGGAGCTAGAGGCTGAATCTACCTTCATATCATTAACAGGGAAACTGAAGCTCAGAGAGGGGATGTGATGTTCCTGGGTCAAACAGTGGATTATCTTTCTCCTGATCCAGAATCCAGTGCTCTCTTGACTACACCTAAAGTCTCTATTAGTGGTCATCAGCTGTGGGGAACTCTCCTATGTAACACAGAGATTCTTGGGCTACTGTAGGCTGTGGCATGGCTAATTGACTCTTTCCAATATTAGGTTGTTGTTGTCAGGTGGAGTCCAACTCATAGTGACCCTGTATAGGGTTTTCAAGGCTGTAAATCTTTGCAGGAGCAGAAAGCCACATCTTTCTTCCAGAACATTAGATTAGACTTGAGATTCTCCCTGTAATCTGGCTGTGCCTTCTTGAATGTGAGGTAAAAAGGTGGCATTACAGCTAGTGTGTCAGGAATTACACAGAGGCATGAACCTGTGGGATGCTGTTGTTGTTGTTAAGTACCATTGAGTTGGTTCTGACTCATAGTGACCCTGTATTGGGTTTCCAAGAAGGAGCAGCTGGTGGGTTCGCAGTCCAGTGCTGATTCTACAGCGCCACACCAAATACTTCAATAGATAATGACCAGAAGACAATCTATGTTCTCTGAAACTCATGTTGAAAAATAAAAAGCTGAACAAATACAAACTTTATTCTTTGTGTTGGTCAATTTTCTCTGGGGTTTTAATGGGAAGCTTTTCATGAGATGAAATCCCTACTAGAAAGAACAGGCTGTCATTCTGATACTCAGGAAAGTGCTTTACTGACTTGGAAAGACAGCTTCCCCAAAAGCAGGATCTATAAAGTTAAAGTCCGTATCCACACTGACTTTATTGCTTTTGGGTCAGGTAGGGGGAAGAAGAGTCAGTGAGTCATCTCTTTGGGCAAAGTTTCAGGAAGCTCTGTGGTTTGGCTTTGCAGGGATAACTTCATACTGACTTCCTTTATTCAGGGGTGTTTCTTGGAATTGTGGGACTTAAAGAGAACATTCAAGGAAGAGAAAATGAAGGTGATTCTAGAAATGAATTAATTAACAGGGAATGGGGGCTTGAGTCCATCCAGTCTTTTGTTTCCCAGCCTGAGGACCATGGAAGGCAGAGTTAGGGATAGCAAGAGAAGCAGGAATTAGTGTGTGTGCCCAATGTGTATATAAGTATGGTCTCAATCCTTAGTGTATATAAGAATCACCTGGTGAAACTACACATCCCGGGGCTACTAAACGCAAGACTGATTTTGCGGATCTAACATAAAACCCAGAAATCTAGCGTTTTAAGAAGTATCTAAGGTCTAATATATACTGATCCTATGACAATAAAATACAAAGCACGTAAAGTATCACTGATGCTGAAATTGCCCTTTGCTGTTACTGTTTTGTTTTTTAAACAAGAATTTAGTAATTATGAGGGGTGGGTGTAAGCAGTCCTTGGATTCTGGGGATGCAACTCCAGAAGTTGGAAAACCTGACCTCAAAATGTTAAATTCTTCATTTCAGAAATGAAGACTCAGAGAATTTAAGTAACTTCCCCAAAGGCACATAGGGAGTCAGTGTCAGGACAAAGATTCTGGTCTCCTATGTTGGAGCCTGGGAAGCTATCCACACCCATCCTCATCCATGTAGCCCCATTACACAGAATACAACCATTCCAACAGGCTCAACGCCTTATTAGCAGCTAACCTGACTTTCCCTCAAGTAAAAATGGGAAATAAATCATTTCAAAGTTCAATGAATATATATAGGATCATGGTGACTCTGTATGATACACAGTGGACTGAGAAGCACAAGGTTGGTGGTTTGAGCCTACCAGCTACTCCACAGAAGAAAGATGAGGCTTTCTGCTTCCAAAAAGATTTTAAATGCCTCAGAAGCCTGATACAGGGTTGCTATGAGTCGCAACCGACTCGACGACACTTAACATTATATTGTTGTTGTTAAGTAATGTTGAGTCGGTTCCGACTCATAGCAACCCTGTATAGGGTTTCCAAGGAGTGGCTGGTGGGTTTGAATCACTGACCTTGTGGTTCAAACCAACTTT